TATATGAATCTAATAAAAACTCAATTTTCAAAAAATTGTAAAAAAGGGCTGTTTTAATAGATAACACCCCATATATTTACAGGCAACGTATTTTGCAAAAACTTCACTTCAAGGATTATTGGTAATAACGATTGGATTTACGCTATATTCATTCCAAATCTCGAGTGTATCTGTATCTCAGGTAATCAATTAATAATAATCATTCATTTATTTATTTAATATAAAATTAAACCTTTCAACAATAGACGGATATTGCACCAAAATATGCTGGCATAATATATGGCTTAGGAAATACTGTTTCAGCGGTTCCAGCTTTTTTTGGTGTGGCATTAACAGGTTGGATATTGGAAACTACTGGTAATGATTGGAGAGTTATTTGGTCTATGTGTTCTTTGTTCTATATTTTTGGTGCGTCATTTTTCGTATGCTTGGCCGGTGGAGAGGTAATAATTGATTGAAGTGATGGAAGAAATGTGGCTTATGTATTATGTAAATATGTATTTAGCTCAATTTGTTAAAAGCTTTCCTATACATACGTAGCCTGTGTAGAATATGGAATAGACTTTTAAATATAGTTATTTATTCTGGTTCGTGTAATAAATAAAATAAAATATTAAACAAACTTGTGACTTTTATGAAGTTGCCACAATAAGACAAATTACTGTAATAACCGTTTTTGTCAAAAGACCTATAAATGGAACAAATTTTTTAGTTTGACTATTTTCAAGACAAAAGTCTCCAAATCTTCAACAACGAAATTATTGACATTTAAAATCCTCTTTTTTTGACTTTGTTTACAAGATCTATTAAACCATTTAATATCAAATCTGTATTTCAAAATTCATCCAATTTCCATCACAACTGTAATTGCTGCTGAAGGATTTTTCATTCATGCAGCCAAGTATATGATTATTAGAACCTTTCACAGCTACAAAATTTGTATTCGTAGGAAAGTAATTATATACTGTATATATACAATTATAAAATCAAGAAACATCATAATAGTAACTATCATTAGTCGTTTTCCATTGCTTGTAATTGTTGCCATAATAATTTCTAGAAATATTATATTCATAACACCGTGTTAATATAATAAAGGGTGCTTTTAGACATCTCCCGTGTGAGACGTATCTCCGTTAGCCAATAGCGAGCCACAATTTAGTATAATGTAATATGATCAGAAACTTTCAAAACAAACATTAGTTCGAAGAAAAAAATATCCATTTCTCAAAAAAATGCATAAGAAACCTACTTTTATGCACTAACAAAAAGTTTTCTTTGGACAAATTTCCATATATTTCTTTTATTCTGAACTCTAAACTAAGCGCTATCCTAACATAAATAAACTTTGGGAGATATATATCAATATATATCCCGTGGGGGATGCCTATAATTTCTCTATAATAAATAGGGGTTTTTATTATACAATACAAGAGTAAATGGGGTGCTGGCACCCTTGATAGTATATTCATGTATATAATACTGTATATGGATATAGGAAAGTTAGTTGCATATATTATTATTTACTAAAATCTATTCCTGATTGTATTTGGCTTCTAATTTTAATAAAATACAAAAGATTAAAGTTAAGGATTTTTATAATAAATTTTTACCCAGAAACCATCAGGATCTTTATAAAAATTTTTTGAAAAACACATTCTAACTTTTTCTGGATTATCATTCTGGAAAATGCTCATTTTTTGTAACAAATAATATACAATTCCTGGTCATTTCTATAGAATCCTAAAATTTTTGGATAAAAATCAAATCTTGATAAGATTTGGCTTTGAATTATAATAAAGTACAAAAGATTAGAAGCAGAACTTACCTGGATTTGATTTTTACCTGAAAATTATTAGGATTTTATAAAAATGATCAAAAATTTGTATAAAAAAGAGTTAGGTTTTATGGTGTACCTAAGAGTGCTAATAGTAAAATTCCTCAAAAAAATATATTATTTCTAAAATTTATTAAAATAAACTAATATTTAACTTAATATCTATCAACAAGTTAAAAAAAATCTCAAATATTTTTTAAAAAAACTTGATATATAAAATTTTTAAAGGTTTAAAAAGTTTTATGTTTTTTCTTAATAGAAGGTATTATTGCACACTACATATATATATCAATACTTACATGTATTGTATTATAGTTTATATATTACAAAAATAACAATTTTATATTTGGTTTGTCAATTTTTTTTCTGAAATTGCTCAAATAAAAAAAAAAGAAAAAATTATTATAATAACTACACTATAATAACTAAATTTTCTTAAGTATTAATCCAAATTAATTAATTTTTGTATCATTCGATTCATTTCAGTAAAAAATCAAATGGTACTAAAATTGTTTAATTCTGATCTGTGAACTGCAAAATATTATCAGAACTGTAAGTACATCACAATACTTTTCATATCATAATATCTAACCCTTTCTTATAATTGTTTTATAAAAATATGCATTTTTTAAAATAATAATTTGAAAAAAGCCAGAGTAGAAAATCTTATGAAAATAAATGTTTTTAGAAAAATAAACTTCTAAAATAATAATCTAGAAAAAATATAATTTCAAAAATTTTTTCTGTAATATATAGTTCTAAGTATGAAAATAATACAGAAATCAAAAAATTTTTAGCTAGTCAATAAATATTTAAAAGATTTGTTTATATAAGAAAAATTTACCTTATAGTGAACTTTAAAAATTTTTCAAAAATCATACGTATTTTAACTTTTTCCAAACTATCATTCTATTATTGTTTTGAAAAATACTTAAAATATATATAAATTTCTAGTTATTTTCATAGAATCCTGGTAATTTTTAGGTAAAAAATTTGTATATAATTCAGATTTTAATCTTTCTGTATTTCATTATAATTAGAAGCTGAATCTTATTTAAATTTGATTTTTATACAGGATTCTATGGAAATAATCAGAAATTTATATGTTTTGTATTAAAAAAATGAGCATTTCTAGAACAATAATAGAATAATAGTTTGGAGAAAGCTAGAATATGTTTTTTAAAATTTTTTTATAAGCCAAAAACTGGTTTTTTCATTAATCTCAAGCCTAGAAATAGAATGCTGAGCAGCTATACAATAGATTCAAAAAATCTTTGATTTTTCTATCTCTATTTGAGTAATATTTTAGGTTTTGCAACTATAGTAGCAATACAAAAATTTATATTTTGCTTTTGTTTCAAAGCTGCAATAGCAGTACAAGAATCTTGTTTTTTTATATTTTTGGCTCTATAGTTTTATGAATATGAAGAACCTTAAGTAATGCTTATCTTGTAATAGCTTTTTGTATTTATTATGAGACCTTTCTTGTTTGTATTACAAAAAATTTTTTTGGTATTATTTATTATTGTTTGTTAATATTATAGTAGAGCTTACAAAAGGCAAACAGGATTTTCATATTTTAAATAAATATTATCTAATCAAAAAATATCAACTGATCTTTTATATGATCATAATGATTTGGTAATTATATCATCAATTATATATATACAAATAAGTACTTTATTTGTTTCTTTTTTAACATCACTTAGAAGCAAATTTTTGTATAACAGTTTATCAAAAAAAGGCCCAAAAAATCAAATCAGCCGATATGCTTTTTTACAAAATAGAGCCAAAGGTTTGAAATTACAACTACACTTTTTACAGCCTTATATTATCTATTATAAGTTAAAATTACTATATACAGAAGATTATTTAAAATCAAACTCTTTTTGTAATTTTGATTATATAGGATTAGCCCAGTTCATATTACTATTTTCACAAGGCATATTATCTCTGCTTAGTATTTTTTTTGATTTGTTAACTTTTGTTAACTTAATATATATATATTATATTAGATCAGTATAGTATAATTTATTAGTTAGCCTGTAATATAAGAAAATGTTTACTTATATATAAAATTGTGGAACAAATTTCTTCTCATTAGATTTATAATTTATAATTACAGAATTACTAAAATAGGCTAATTTTTATTTTATTATTATATAACTAAAATTACTATTTTAATTTTAGAAAGTTTTATATATAAGATTACAGATTTTGCATATGCTATAAAAATGATTACATCATATATAAAATTATAATTTTTTATACATACTATAAAATATATTTACTACTTTTATACATTATTATCAATTATTAGATTTGGTCTATTAGGTTCTATAAAGATTATATTTATGATAGTATTATCAGATATAAGAAATTTTTTAATATAATAATATATGATTATTAATAATATTGATAATTACCATTTTAATATACACTACAATATTTTTAATAACAATTTGAAGTTATAAGTTATGCATTTATTAGTTCTGACTAATTAGATACTATAAAATGATCAACTTGCTCATAATAGTAGAAAATTTGTATTATTATTAAAAGTTGATCTGAATTTGTTAATTAGTTTTAACTAATTAAGTACTTTGGTATAGACAGGATAGCTATAATTTTATAATATTTTGATTGATAATCTAAATAAGTTTTTGATTACTCTAGTAATTTAAATTACCGATAAAGCAGTCTGAATTTTTATTCTTATATATAGTTTTTGCTTTTTATATTTCATATATTTAAAGATTAGCAACTCTCTGTAGTTAACTATACTACTGCTTGTTTTCAGACTAACCATTCTGGTTTAAATATTAAATATCTTAAAAAGTTTATCAAAAAAACAAAAGCTTAATTCAAAAAAACTATCTAATTTATAACTGTTTCTTAATAGTTTATATTTTTTAAGCTTTGTTAATAACAACAAATGCAAAAATAGAACTAAGAATAGTACATATCTATTTAAACATTTTTATAACATTTTTTTGTAATTTTTTTTATTATTATTAATCAAAAAATTATTAAAAAATGCTTAATATTGTAAAAATACTAAATATTAATAATAAATAATTTCTATTTATATACTTATGTTTGAATACAGATATATTAATAACTCAAAATTATGTTTATAAAACTACTTTTTAAATTTTAACAAAAAAACTCTATATAAAATTTTACTATAAACTACCCTAACCTTTAATCTAAGCTCTAACCTAATCTAATCTAACCTTAATTTGATTTAATTTTTTTCTTTAAATTTTATATTAAAATTTTTTATAAATTATACCTGTATTTTAAACATTAATATAAATTTATAAATTTTTAATAATATAAGATAAGGCTATGCAAAATTAATTAATTGGTTTTCATAATCTAGCTAGATCAAAATTTGAAATTTTATAAAAAATTTTTTAAATATTTTAATAACTGAGTAGACTTTTTAAAAAAGTTTTAAAAAAATTTTATAAAATTTTTATATATAAAATTTAAAAAAAAAAGTAAGCTAGCTAGGCTTGTTTAAAAATTTCATATTATAAAAACCAAGATATTAAATTTGTATAGTCTAATTAAATATAATTAATAATTTTTTATTATTTAAATATTTAAAAAAAA